GGTATCTCTTACTGTTGCTTTAAGGAGCTTTAATTTCTTGTGCCACTGAAATCCACAATGGAAACTTAAAGGACAAGAGTATAGCTTCAGTTTTTTTAGGCTAGTAATTCGTTAAGTAAAAGTTATCTAGCAATTCCAACTCTTTCCATCCAGAAGTTTCATTTGTATGTAAATTAGTGCTTGAAAGGATGTTACCCTATCTAATGAAATATTATTTGTTCTTCCTATGATTAATTTCACTTATTCCAGTACTGTGACTTTTTTTTTTAATTGTCTGCTGTTTTGATAATATGTGTTTGTTCAGGACCCATCCATTTGTTGGAACTGAATTTATGATTAAGTCCTCCTTCCAAAGTACAGCAATGAAAAAAAATTTCACATACATTTCTTCCTATTAATACCTTTCATCCTAGGCTGATATGCAAAACAAATATTATCATCCTTTCTACTGTATTTTATAAGCGCATCCAAGGCTTCTTCCAACAAAAAGACCTGTTTTGATATAAGATCAGGTTTATACTATTTTCTGCATGCTTTGTTTTCTTCTAATTCTTAAAAATACATTTTTTTCCATGAAAAGCAGGCCTGTGTATCCAATATATTATAATGTGTGTGGAATGTGTGTGCAGAAATGGAGTGGGCTGCATTCTGGAGCCTGCCACATTGATATAAGCCTAGAGTAATTCTGAGGGGTGAGATTAATCATGTAGCTGAGTGCAGTCTGAATCACTGAGAGTCTGCTATTGTAGCTGACCTACAGTTATTGCAAAGACATTTCAAGCCTACATACTCCGTTTTTATCAGACATGAATAGAACAGGACCTAATATGAATTTCAAAATTAAGCCTTTCTTTCTGCATGTGGTCAGGAACCTTTTAACATTTTAGAGCTGAAGCCTTGCTGTAGCTGTAAAACAATGTTGGATTTAGTGCCCGTATTGAATCACAACCATGATTTGGATGGAGGAACTGTGCAGCTGCTTGGCTGCTGCTGTATCACATGGATTGACTAGTAATAACAGAGATGAAGAGAAAGGGCTTTTATAGCTCATATGGTACCTAGCTTTCCTGAGTATATCCATGCTGAACGTATAGTTGCAACAGTTATCAGTATCGAATATCTCAAAGCACAAGAAATTTACTGAAAAGCATAACCATTAATCAGTTTAAGAGTCCAAACGATGATCTTCCCCTTCTGCTTACGCAGATTTGAAATCCTAAAACAAATACGTTTAACTTATATTTCTTGAGAAGAAGGGAGATTCAGTATTACTATTTTATCAGTTATCATGGGAGGTTATGAAAGCAGTATGCTTTATCGCTAGGAAAGTTACTTAAATAGATGGGATTTAAATAATAACTATTTTTGCAAAGTAAAATATAAGTGAGATAATTAGTTAAGTGTGACGCCATCTGAATACATTCTCTGCCGCAGAATAATCAAGTGATATTGTTGGTTATATGCATAGTGTATAATTTGGATACAAAAAATACCTCTTGTGGTAACACTATATTTTATCTCCTAACCATTTATTTGAACTATATGACTAAGCTGGAATTGTTAAAAGAATAAATTTGATATTTTATCTGCAGTTTGTATATAATATTTTTGTTCTAGTTCCCACAGACCAAATGTCAGATTTATGTGGACTTTATAGGCCATGCTTCCTTGCATGTCAGTTAAAACGCACATTTGTGCTAGGACATGCTTTAGAGGAACAAATCCTGAAATGCCAGAAAGCAATTTCACCCAGGCTAATGAAGTGCTGCTTATTGGCATTCTGTCTAGTCTACCTAAAGACGAGTGAATGGGTATACGGGATAATAGTTTTCTCATGTTGGTTTGGATTGCTACTAAGCATATTTTTCCTGTTGTTCTGATAAGGAAATTAGAGCAACAGTTCCAGAACTTGTCGGCAGCATTCCCCAGCCTCCATTTTGCTTTACTGTTCACCAGTCTGCTACTGGGACTTTTGATTTTCATCTTGGAATGGGAGCAGGACCGCTGAGCGTAAGAGAGGCTGCATGCAGTCGATGAGAGGTGTTTTATGGATGGACAGAAACCTGAGGTGTGTGATACAGGGACAGGAGATGTAAATGGGGACATAGAACTAAAGCCCTAAAGTGGGAGTAGTAGAGGATGGGAGTCCTGGTTGTATGATATGGGGAAACATGTAGCAGAAAGCCAGCAAAGGTGCGTCCACAGCCCAATAAGACAGCTGCTTCTGCCACTAGAGCAGTAATAGGAGTAGTAGGACTTTCCAAGCAGTCTAAGCTTGGCAGACCCTTTGCACAAAACTATGCTCTGTCTAATGATTCCTAACTTTCAGAAATAGTGAGATTTCCGGACAGAGCTGAACACAGAGTTGTGTTGTAGCAGTTTAAGCACAGTAGCTGCATAGACTGCTATATAGCCTGAGCTATAGGTAGCCACTTTGGAACAATTAACAGCCTGAGGAAGAATCCTACAACTCTGCTAGCTAAGCAGCTCCCTTGACCACGGCCTTGGATAAGATGTTCATAGTGATCCAGACAGCCTAGTTTTTAAATAAACAATGTTCTATTTCTTTTTGATCTTAATACAAAGAAAATGTAGCAAGATTAGACTGATGGGGATACAGTATGTTGTATTGCCTCTGTTATTCTCCAAATGGTAGCTTTGTGTGACTTTTTTTTTCTTTTTCTTTTTTTTTCCCTTCACAAGGCTTACGCTATAAGCTAAACTCATATATGCACTGATATATGCATAGGCTAGGCTATCAATTGCAGTTTGAAAGCAAACAATTATTCTTATCTTCTTTGCCATGGAAAAAACTATTCACATGTGAAGTACAATTTTGTGATCTTTAGAAAAGCTTGCCAAGGGCAAAGGCCTCACAGTGGTGGTGTAGAGGGAGGGGAGGGGAGATTGCGTGTGTATTTTTGTTGTTATTCCTCAGAATGTCACTATTTTATTGTAAGGCTGTTGGTCCTGCAAAAAGATACATGCAGTATCTGTATGATGTTTATCGGCTTACATGCAATAGATTACCTGCATCAATACCATAAGAGCTTGAAAAATAATTTAAACTTCAGCAAGATTCTTTTTTGTTTAATGCTTCTTTGGAAGCTAATAGTGGGAATGTACAGAGAACTGGATAGTGAAGTGCAGTTCTGTCAGTAGATTTTTAAATAAATAGCTGAATTAAGTTTTAAGTAGTGTATTGGTTTCTAAAAATACTAGCTAATTGAGGCAGTGGATTCCTGATCTTGTTTTGTATAGTAAAGGCTGAAAAACTTACTGTGATCTATCTGACAGAAGTTGAGCACAGTGGATCTGAGACAGTGTGAAATGGTTCCTAAGCCATAAGTTAGGACAGACGTAATTGCACGATATAATGAAACTTATTTCTCCAAATCTGCTTGCAATGCAGTCTTAAATTGCTGTTTTATGTGTTTTTGCATGATAAGTCTTTTTGTATGATGATATTCTTCTGTTTTAACTGTAATTACAGGATGAGATGGAATGATGGTTTTGTCCCTCTATTTTCATCCCACTCTGCCCAAACCCATCCTGAGAGTTTCACAAAGTAAGTGGAAGCTAGCTCTGACTGCAGTGTGGTACCTGAGAACACCAGTGCTTTTTGTGTATTTTTTTTTTCCTCAGAGAGATGAGAACTTTAATGTGATAGAGTTGTTTTCTTGTTCTGGCTTCTCTGCCTTGTTTAACTGGTTGGAGCAGAACTGCCTATATTAGGTTCAAACACTTGCATTTGACCTAATAGCCCTTCAGTGCAGCATGGGATTAGCACGAATTGCAGGTCAAAAGCATAGTTAGAATACAGTTAAAATGTTGTGCCTTATCAATTACAAAAATCTCTAGAGAACCATCATTCTGATAAGGTTAAAATCAAGTATAAAGAACTCTCCCCTTTTGTAAGAAACGTGGCATTCAAAAGGTGTAGATTTCTGGAGATCATTTTGAGATACTAATAGTGACAGAAAGCACTGCTTTGGCTTTCAACTTAAAACTTAAGCATTTTAACATTTATATCAAGTAAAGCTATTCCATACTACAAAAGGGTTGTAGGAATAATTTGGAAAAAGTCCAAACTTGTGCATTTATGATAGTACATAAAGTGCTGTTAGAGAATTGCACATGATGTTCCTAAAATAGCAAAGTGATCTTACGAACTGCAGAATGATCGTATATGTATAAAGGAGTGATTTTTACGATGCAGTATCGCTTACGGTCCGCATCGTAGCTTTGGGGGAGGTAGTTAAGGAGGATCTCGATCCTTGGAAAAAGTCGTGTGTAATTCGAGTCATTTAAAAGTACGCCGTGACTACAGGAATAGGCAGCAAATGCTGTTTCCCCTGGAAATGACTGTGCTGCAGCTTCCAGCGCTGTCCAGCTTTCCTGGGAGGGGGCGACGCGTCCCCGCAGGGGTGTTAGACGGCAGGAGGCGGATCAGCTGTCCCGAGCCCGGCGTGCCCCGAGCCCCCCGGGCTTGTCCCTTCCGCATCCCCTGTCTCTCCGTCCCCGCGGCTCCCGGCCGGCCT